AGGGCGAGGGAGGGTGGTGAAGGTGCGAGAGTTGAACCGCATCCAGCTATCCCGACCCAGGAGTACGGCGTGCCCCATGGCGGCATCTGGAACAACGCAGGCCCAAACCGCCAGAGAAGCCGTAGCACGATCCCCGTGAAGGAAGTTGACTGTTAACCGAACCGATTTGGTGGTCACGAGGGCGGGTCCATCACCAAACCCACCCCAACGACGAGAGGGCGAAACACGGACACTCCCCGAAGTCAAAGCTCCTGCATCAATCATAGCGGTAACGACAGAGTCAGACACGAAGGACGCGGGGGATCCAGAGTCCAGCAGCGCCACTCGCGGCAGTTGAGAAGTGGCTGTAGGCCCTCCATGCAACAGGACCCGGGTGGTGTACGAATCCGAATCCAGAAGAAGCGTGCCGCCCACCAAATCCAGTCCGTGTTCCAGAAGAGGGGGGTGGTCTTGGCAAACAGAGGTAGCGGCCACCAAGTGAGCGCCAGGAGCATGGTCCCCCGGAGCGTCCAGACTATCAGATTCGTGGGTTTCTTGTCTTCTTGTTTTATGGTTCTATGGTTCCATGGTTCCATGGTTCGATATTGGGGTTCGTAACAGCTAGATATATAAAAAATCTAACCAAACCTCACATTCAAGGAGGTAAAGTGATTAACCATGACCTATAACCACTTGTGTATGTGCGGACCACAAACACGATCTTCTAGCTAATTTCAACATAATCAATCTTATTTTCAAACAAATCCATCTTTGAAGTGTCGAAATTTGGAACCCGGAAGCCATATCTCCTCCCATCCCATCTGCGTAACTTCTAGCGTGGGTAATTTCATGGAAAACAATCTCTTGTTCTGTACATTAATAACACCAATACCGTGAATTCATCTATTCCATCTTCCACGGGCCGGAGTACTGATGCGCGTCTGACACTCAAGTAATATTTTCAAAGTAGAGTATATTCCATGATGAATCCCAAGATACAGATACACATGTCGCCTACGGAAATTGGGTGCTCTGTTATATCCAAAGACATACAAAAAAAGTACAAGTTGAATTACTGTGGTCTGTACATGGTAAATGGAAAAACATATATGTTTGTACATGGAAAGTCGAGAATGGCACCAAATGTTCTACGGAAGGTGGTGGGCAATTTTGTAGAAATACACGAAGTTTCTACGTTCAAGAAAATTCAGGGAGAACCCATTGATATCGTTGGAACTATACCTAAGCATGGTGGCTCAAGACCTCGCCTTGGCACACATGTACCACATTCAGTACCCTCGTCCACCTCGTCATCGTCATCACCACCAAAATCCACCCTCCCACGTACTCTCTTGATTGGTGACTTTAACTACACATACGTCAAATCCGATGCCCCCATCGACAACCGGGTTTTTCACGCTATATGGGGGTCCCTCTCTGGAATGTGGAAGCCAATTGCATGGGTTGGACCGACGAGTTCCATCGTTGCTTCCATCGGGAAATAGTGACCCAATTGTTTTCGGTCCAGAATAATAGTTGCAATCTCTGTCACACGGATGTGTCCATGGGTTCCAAGTACTCGAATGCAGATATTGATCATATCGTGCCTTTACACCTAGCTAGGCGGCTCATGTACTTATTCGAATCTTCAAGTTTTATGCGTACCATGTCATCGGCGCAAAACAGCCTTAGAGTGTAAGAAGATTAAGAGTAACGTGTTGATTCCGGATTACATGGTCTTGAATGCCGGGACCATTTACATATCTGGTGACTCCCTCGACACTTCGATAAATGTGTCTGATCTCTCAGAATCGAACCCGAAGATGTTTATCGAGTCTGGTGGAAATGGTATGTTAAACCTTGTCTACTGAACAAATCAGGATCGACTTATTTCCCGTATTTGTCTCCTCTTTTCTCTCTGCAGACTGTTTAATTCATCCCTTTTCTCCATGTATCTCCTCTTCTTGTATCCACTCCTTTCACCATGAGACGGGCCGGGCCGACCCTTGGCTTGGATATTTTGTCACATCTTGATTCCAGAGCTCTCAATTTAACCAGATTTTTTTTCATCAGACTAGTTTCAGAATTTGAAAAAAACGCAAAAAATCAGAAAATACAACCCACTGAACCCATTCTCGTGACAGATTGGTAATTTGCCCCGTCGAGATGAGTGTTATACGAAAGATATGTATATTCTTGAATTTTAGTTTCCAGGGTTTTATGTACATCGTAATCATCGTGTTATCAAGGTGAGATGATTCTGTGCCTTCAGTTGTGACCAGCTCGTAGGTATTCGTGGATTTTATCATCGATGGTTCGGTGGTTGCATGGTTCCATGATTCGATCTATATTTGTGAACCGAGATACCCGGTAAAGTTTTAATTAAATATAGGGGGTAGTAAAGCAAGAGCAAGCGTCATTCACCAGCCTCTCCCTCTTGTAACCATGTCACCACGGAAGAGGACAAAGCTGGAAACCATATCGGGGGCCTCCATAAGATACGACGAGGCCTCCGGGAGCTACCGGCAGGGTAAATCGTATGTAAGCTTCGGCCAGGGGGAATCGAGGGTGTACGACGTGGGCGAAGCCTTCCTCAAGAAGGATATACTGTTCGAGGTCCTCTCCGAGGTGAGAAGCTCCATCTGCGTGGGGAACCCCAGGTCAATCTCCGGGAGCCTCTCTGGGAAAGGAATTCAGGTGGCATGGGTCCTCAACAGATTCGACAGGAGGTTCATCAAGAGGGTAGATGAGTTCGCCATGTCCAAGATCCTCAAGCGTCTCGGGGGAAGGTGCGACTCGGAATGCCTCCGGGGAATCTCGTACCGGAATCAGTACGTGGATCCCGTCGATGTCCATGTAGACGGGCGAGCTCTGTGCGAGATCTGCAGGATCATGGGGCAGGAGCCTCGGGATCTGTACAAGAGAGCGGCGGATATTTTGAACGCCAAGTACCGCGGACACCGATCGACGGGAGACTCGGTAATAAAGGTTTCCTCCATACCACAGGACGACCTGCCCGTCTACATGATACTCGTGAGAGAGAAAATTCTGCGAGCACAAGACCTCGACGGTCAGGAGTATCTGATTACAAAAGAAGTCGACGACGCGGAGGAGACGCTGGTGAGCACCCTCCACGAGCTTTCCCAAAGATTCGACTCCCCCGAGATAACGGTCACCAACGATGCTCAAGATTCCGGCGCCTCGTCCAGGGAGGTGTTGATCCAGGAGCAACTGGAGGCCTGCACCATCGCCATGAACAATCCTGTTTGTTATCTCTGTGGATTCCCAGGGACAGGAAAAACAAGCGTTCTGTGCAGAATACTCAAGGAATCGAAGGGGACGGTGGTTTTGACACCGTCGCACGTCTCGAGAGAGGTCGTTTGCCAGCGCGCCATACAAAACGGCGTTGATCTAAACACCTTCAGCGTGGAGGTCCTCGCTTACGCGGTGAGGCACGTGGGCGAGTGGCTTCCCGACTACGAGAACAACGGGGAGCATCCGATATCGCAACGGTCTATCGACTTCATGGAGAAGTTCAAGGGAGAAGACCAGTGCCTCCACATCGAAATCCTGGTGATCGAAGAGGCTTCCATGGCCGACGTGTTCCAGGCGTCTCGAGTGATCGAGCAGTTCTGCAGGATCCCCTCCCTGAAGATGGTTGTCTTCTGTGGAGATCACCGGCAGCTCCAGAGCGTGTCCAAGGGGAGGGTGCTTGAAGACGTCATGGAGTGTGGCACGATCCCTGGAAAGATCCTGGAGGTCAATCACAGGTCGGGCTCGGCGCTCTCGGAAAACCTCAGGCACATCCTGAAGTCGAGCCTTATTAACATAGAAGAGGACGACTCCTTTGAGGTCGTGGACTCAAGAATCGAACGCTGCGAGGTGGAGACCGACAGTTTCGGGAGAGATCGTGTGATGGCGCTGCAACCAATCGTCGACATATTTCTGAAGAACATGGACGCGGGATTGCCCACGCACGTTTTTGGATACATGAACGTCGAGGTAAACAAGATCAACGAGGCCCTGAAGACCGCCATCTTCGGTCACGACTCGGTCATGTTCCCAAATCACTGTAAAGTCCGCGTGAAAGATCCTGACCTCATCTCGCCTGCCCATTTCCATCGGAAAGATTTCTTGGAGATCGTAGAGAACAAGGGGTCGAAGCATTTCGTTGTGAAGCGCTGGAGCAACCGGATCAGGAAGGATTTGGATTCGGATTTGGAGCATAATATCGAGATTAGGGTGACCGGTAGGCTCAAGGAGGCGCTGGCTCTCGGGTACGCGTCGAGCGTACACTCTTTTCAGGGGTCTGAATGCGCGTGCGTTATTATCCACGGAGTTAGCAACTGTGGGTATTTCAGCCGCGATGCTTTATATACCGCCGTGTCCAGGGGAAAAAAGAAATGTACCATAGTGACGGTCAGGAGCAATAGCAAGGGATGGAAGAAGATTGTGTACAAGCACGCGGTAGGTAGGCTGTCGAACTTGTCTAGCAGGTTTTAATTTATATTGTAATATTACCAGTAGCAATTGTCTACATCAAATGCGTGACATTGTTACAACGGACGTCTTCTTTGGTGGCCCCCGGCGGTGCTGGGAGGTGCACGACGAGTTCATTGCTATACTTCAGATACTGTGCGCCAGGTTGATTGTAGACTTGTCTACGCGTAAGTCAATTATTTAGAATTTCCACGGACCACTCAGGGGGATGTGTATTTTCAATAATTATTTCGAGACAGCCAATGCAGTTTTTGCACTCTTGATTTTGAAAATCACGAGACCAACCACTGCGGCACCAGCAACCACGGCTCCTCCGATAACCAAGGGACTCACCCCAGTTTTTGCGGACGCAGCCGAACCAAGTGCAGATGTTGCGAGACCGACCGCAACTCCATCCTCCAGGGCAAACAATTCCACGACATATTCCGTACTCGACTCTAGACCCTTAAGCAAGGCGGTGGTTCCGGTAATGGGGGCTCCCCCGAAAGTCACCGGGGAACCCCCCTCGGCAGTGTACACAAGTTGATACTTTGCCCCCGGATACAGCTCGGTCCACTCCGCTTGGATGTGGGAGGATGCGGTCCCGGAGATCGTCAGCGTAGATGTCTTGGTAGTGACAATGACGATGGCCTGTGTCGCCATGCCTCCATCCAGACGCAGTCGAATGAGCGCGAACTTATATCCAGTACCGGCCTTCAGACCCGAGATCGTGGTCTGGCTGTTGGTGGTGTGGGGAAGCCACCCGGTTGCGTCTGCCCACCCTCCGCTAGGTAGCTCCTGCTTGCGCACCCTGAACTCGGCCACGCCGTCTTCCTCCTGTACCACCCCGGCGTCCCAGGAAAAGCTGACACTGGAGGCCTTGATTTCACCCACCTGGAACACGGCGCCGGCCGACGTTTCAAACGTGAAGGGTTTTACCAGCATCTTTTCGGCAACCCCGGAGGTATTCGTCTCTAGGGCGGTGATCTTTCCCCAGCAAGGTTTCTCCTTTGCAAGCCCGGTGAAGACGGCGGACAGCTGTACACCAGAGGTGCTCAGTTCACCGTTCGTCTTGGCCTTAATGGGAACGGTGTCGGTATCGGGAGCCACGTCGTAGAGAGAGATCTCGTATTCAGCCGCGTCGTACGCCCGGTCCCACTGGATCATGGCTGATGTCGTTGCCACGGATGTCGTAGCGGTCAGGCTCTTGGCCGCGACATTAATGTTGTCCAGGAGACCGTTTCCTTGTAGCTGGTTGTTCCAGACACCCTGCTCGGCCCTCTGGAGGAACATCTTGTGGGTTGATCCGGGCTGGAACCCCGCTATCTCCACGGACGCGGTTTCCCCGGGAGAGAGTGCCTTGGTCGCCCATATCGTCGACGCGTCTTCGTTCGTGATCCGGTAGTGTGTAGCAGGTACGGTGGAGAAGTTCTGGATGTTAAACGTGAGGTTCGTGTACCTCGCTTGTTCAAGGGTCAGGACACCATACTTGCTCGTCGACGAAGTGAACGTTCCTACCACGATGTCTTGTCTGTTTTCTACGACAAGGTATTCGAAGGTGTAGCTGGTATCCGGGATAAGATTCCTCGAGGTGACGCTAACACCTGTAACACCGGAGACAATGGCCTCACCACCAGAAGCGGGAGTGATCCTGTACTTTTGTGTAGCGCCTTCGTACGTTTCCGTCCACCTGTAAACCATAACCGTCGAGCCGACCCATGGGTTCGTTACCTCGCCTATCTTGGTGGAGACGGTGATCTGGCTCCCGTTCTGGTATACCGGGGTACCATCGACACCGCGACGGTACAGCTGGTACTGGTACTTGCTCCCGGGGATGAGATCGGTATCGGTGAATGTTTTGGTGGTGTCCGGAGTCCAGTCCATGACCACACTCCAACTAGTGGATGGTAGTGCCTCCGTCCTAAGGATCCTGAACTCTGCTTCCTCGTCTTCCTCGTCACCCCCGACATCGCCGTCGTCCCACGACAGCTCGGCGTAGGACGCGTAAACGGCATCCAGGTCGAGGTTGGCGTAAGACGAGGGGGTGAACTCGGCGGTACCGACAGCCTGCCACTGGTTGAAGTAGCTCCCACTATTAGTATTCATGTTCTTTTCGACCGTCTGTATGGAGGCGCGGTAGGAGATTGTGTTGGACAATCCTGTGAAGACGGCCTCGTACCTGTTGGTGCTCGTGTTCAGGGTTGCGTCCACGCCCTGGATCTGGGTGGTGCTAGCGGACTTGTCGTATAGACGGACCGTGTAGCTCGCGGCGTGAGTCTTGTCCCAGCTAACTACCGCCGCCTTGGAAGAGGTGGAAACATTGACGTTGTCGATCTTCTTGGTAGTGGCCGTCCTAGCATCCCCCTGTCTCACCCACGAGCCGAACTCCTTCCTCTGTAGGAAACAGTTGTATATCGAACCGAGTACAAGCTTCACGGCCACGACGGTCTTGGTCGCGTTAGGCTCGACGGTGATTTCCGGTGTCCTCGCGGTTAACCCGGTATAGTCCTGGTTGCCGGTGACGATGCGGTAGGTACCCTGGCTGGCGGAAGGGTTCTTGAAGGTGAAGGTGGCATCCGTGTACCGGGTGGAATTGAGAGACAGCTGGGCCTGAGCATCGGTACTCGCCGTCACCGAGCTGAGGAGAACCGGGCCCGACATTATTTTATAACCACCTTTATTCAACATTATTAAACTTCAAATCATGTTGATCGGACTACGTAGATTCGATGGTTCTCATTTTTTATAATGTGTGAGTGTATAAGGATGATGAACTTCTGGGACAACGTTTTCATATCCAGCCCACCGATGTTGAGACGCAGCACCCACCATCACTGCGTGTTTTGCGACACGAACCTGGAGGTTTATAAACAGGAATATTGCAGGGGGTGTCTCCTGCCTCTCCAGGAAGACCAGGGGATGGTAGTCATGGGATCAGAGTTGCACAAGGGCATCGGGTTTTTCAGGAGGGTGCGCCTCTGTGCCCGGAGCATTTATCTCAGGGTCCGGGCCAGGGTGACCGGGAGCGTGGGGTTCTTCGCCCCTCTCGGAGTGAAGAGAGGGGTGGTGTACGGTTCTATGTGAACCGCGTTTGTTTTGGCGAAATTCTATCCACCCCATCTTCTATCATCAAGCCCACAACCACATCTCTTCTACCATCCAGCCTACAACCAACTCCCCGAAACAAACAATGTGCGAGACCGAAGTCACCACCGCTACCAGGAGCAGCAAGAAGGCGAAGATGACGAACGCATCACTCCAGGAACTCCTCCCGCCGGTTCTCCTCATCGTGTACGGCTATAGCGTCGGAGAGATTGGTATGTTCGTTTCCAATCATACTGTGCTCCAGGGGCTCAGTGGACACTACAACGCGAACAATAGGATTGACCTGTTCTTCACCGACGAGATGCAGAGGACCTTGCTGCAGGAGCTTGGCGAAGACGTAAGACAGCTCGGCGACGACGACATGGACGGATATAGCAAACAGAGCGTGTTGTACGAGCTTTTCGCGGGAGAACTTCACGGGGGACGTGCCCCTAGGAGGACAGAGAGTTATCGTAGTACAATTACGATGAAAATCGAGCCGGCGAGGCTGCGGTTCATGAATTAATTATTTGCCGTGGTTCTGTTGATTAATGGTTCGAACCAATATATATCTAAAAAAGTATCTTCGGGCACCCCGCCACCCCGAGGCCACAACCCAACCATGAGTCTCCACGATCAGATACGTGAGATGGTATATGCCCACGGAGGTGAGGGAGAAACACCCGAGGAGACCCTGCGAGCCATTGAAGCTAAGGTAAGGGAGTACGTGATGCACCTGACGCTGCTGATATCCGAGACCGCCGAGGGGTCGATGGACGAGGAGGCGATAAAGTTTTGTCTCCGGTGGGACCGTCCGAAGCTGATGACGGTCGCTGAGATGGCCCGTATCCACAAGGAGGTGCAGGGAGTGTCTAGGGTTTCTTTGGACAGACCAGGTAGACGCGGTAGCCGCTGAAGAGACTAAGACAATAAGAATCATCACGTTTCTTCTTTTTTTTTAATAATTTTTTCTTTCGCGGGGATCTGTCACCGTGGTGGTGTCCCCGGGCTTGTTTGCCTCCTTCCGAGTGTTGTTGTTGTTGTTTTTGTTAGGAACAACGTCGCCGGGAGAGCAAAAGTAGCTCTCCGACGCGAGAAGCGGAGACGTGGAAGAGGGCATTGTTTTTTTTTCAAAAGAACGTATACCGTTGAATTATATTTTTTCCCCGGAAGCGAATAGCAAACTAAAACTCTTCACTGTCCAAAATGTGCCACGCTTCAATCATTGATCTAGTGACTTTCTTCTTGTTCCAAGTGAAGCCCGGATCCAGCATGATGACGACGTCACTCAGATTGCTTCTCCTATGAGGCCCCCTGTTGATACCCATGGTATCACAGACGATTTCTACCCTCCTCCGGAAGGGGTAGGACGCTCGTAATTTTGTGGCCGACCCTTGGTTCAAACACTCGACTACGAAATCGAAGACCTCCTTGTCCTCCTCGAAGCCGATGAGATCCATCCACGCCGAGAGCCACGATTCAGTTGTCCCAGGGATGTCGTGGCGTATCCTCGTTCCTATCCTGCAATTTCCCACGTACGACCTGCAATCAAGCGTCTGCAGGGTGTCCATCTCCACCATCCTGCTTGGAAGTTCGTTCGTGTGGTTTTGTGGTTTGTGCTCGTGAGGGTACCTCGTAACGGCTACACAAAAGTATTGTGTTTATATCTTTAGGGTGGTTCGTTCGTTTGGTTCGTTCGTTTGGTTCGTTCGTTTTCCCGCGGCCAAGAGTTGCCCTTTTTTATAAATGCTGATTAATACAACCATGGTCAAGTACGGGATACAGCTTGCCGCTGACCCGCAGGGAACCCATGTGTGCGCAACGACTGTCTCCAAGGAGGATGGACCGTTCTCTTGCGTCATGTGCGAAAAGCCCCTGGGCTTACGACAGGGAACCAAGACTAAGCACCATTTCATCCACAAGTCAAGGTCGTCGTGCGAGGGAAACTCGGACGAACATCGGGCTCAGGCGGAATCACTAGGTTCCATTCCTGAAACTCAGGACCAGGAAACAAGCGTCGAATCAGAACAGGTCTCGTCGGTGGATGATGATTTTATTGACGAACAACTTCACAAGCTTATACCAGTTGAGAACCTTGCTGAGACCCCTGCTGAGACCCCTGCTGAGACCCCTGCTGAGAACCTTGCTGAAACCCATGGGGCGGACGAGGTTGCCGATCCAGAAGTACCCGGTCTCGAGTCGACAGAACTAACCGTGGACTCGTCGGTATCGGTCCCCAACGATGTCATCGAAGAAGCCCTCGATTTCGTCGTCAATGAGGTACTGAAAGAAGCCAAGTGCACGGACTGTAAAAAGACGGGATCGGGGTTCAACCGGATGTTCACCGACGAGGCTAGGGAGAGGTTCGATCTCAACGACCTGTACGTGTGTAGCGATTGTATCGTTCGGTGTCCAGCGTGCGACGGACCCAACTCGCAAAAGAGGTCCAAGAGGGACCCCCTGTGCTTCACTTGTCATTTCCTCGTGGCTCAATGGCAAGAGGAAGCAAACGAGGCCCTGGAAAGCATGAGCCCTATACCCGAATCCCCCGACTGGGTGAAGGAAGAGAGGCGCAGCATGGTTTTGAAGGTGCTCTTGAAGAAGCAAAAGGCTCGGGTGGTCTACGATTTCATGTGCTCCAGCAAGGACCGGATCCCCGAGTACGTCCGGGTTATCGGAGCGCAAGCCAAGGCCAACGCCGTCAAGAGGGCCCTGAGAAAGGAACGGAAGGAGTCCGAGAAGATCCGAAAGCTAAATGAGAAGAACAGGAACCGCAAGATGGGTACCCAGGCCACCGAGAGGTACAACCTCATGTTTGCAAACAAGAAAGAAATTTGTGTTTGTGGGAAACAGAACAAGCGCCCCCATGTGATCCGGTACGCCTCCGTTTTAGGATCGACCAAGTCCTCGTGCAACAAGTGCAGCATCAAGTGCCCGGGTTGCTCTCAGCCGTGCACCAAGAACGACCTTGACAAGTATGGATCGTGCTTCGAATGTCTTGCATGGGGGGCAGATCGCTCAGACATTTGGGGTCAAGGAGAGCCTTCAGTAATCGCGGGTTGTAGTGAAGGTTCAATCGACCACATGGCAGTACTGTATACTCACGGACCCATGGTGACCAAGGGGAAGTTTGCCGGCGACAGACTCGTCCACGTCAACTCTGCAGAGATGGATTCAATAGTACGTAGGGATCACCCCCAGTTTAAGGAGCGGGGAAGTGTAATCGTTTCGTGCAGGAAGAAGATGTAAACACAAACTACAACCACATCGCATTATAATATATTTACTCTAGTAATAGCCCATGACGGAGCGTGTCACGGAACATGCCGAGGATACTGGTGAGTTCCTCAAATCATAGAACCGATGCTCTCGCTGTTCTCAGCCCGAATAACCTCACACATACTACAAAGCTTCTGCTGCCTCAGCCACCTTCCGCCTCACGTACAGAAAAACATCGGCATTAACGTGGACCTCCACTCCCAAAGTGATAGTCGGTGGAGCCGCCGCAAAGACGGTTCATCTCACGGGCCTCAAGGTGGGACAGGCATACTACGTAAGGCTCGAGCGTTTCGAGAACGGTTCGTGGTCACTTCAATCCTCGACCAACAGTGGAAAGAGCTACCTGCTGGTGACCACTCACTCCCTCAGTATAAGTACCTCGACCTCGTCTAACTCGGCGGTCCTCAAGTGGGCGAAGAGGTACGCCGCCACCTACAGGATACAGGTATACGCAGCGAGTCCTTCATCCGGTGCCAACCCCATACAGACGCTAAATCAATCCAGCGTGAGTGGTTCGTGGTACAGCCCGGTCGTCAGGTCTCTCAAGAACAACTTCACGTACTACGCCGTGATAAGCGCCAGCGAGGCGATCAGCTCTGGAGGGGGCAAGTCGTTCGTTCTGACAAAAGAGATCTCGTTCAAGACGTCTGCTTCCGTCAATATTTCCGTAGTATCGACCTTTGCGACCTACGTCGACCTGTTCTGGGACGGGACTCTCGCAGGAAACGACGAGGAGGACTCGGTCGCCGAGTTTAAAATCAGGAGGAGAAAGAACCCATCGGGATCATACTCGGACTCCACACAATGGATGCCGGACTCGGTCACCAACACCAGGATCACGGGACTCCAGCCGGGAACGTCGTACAGGTTTGCTCTTGTCCGACTCGACCTGGACGGGTCCCACCTTACTCAGGCGGTCGTCGACGTTGCTACGAAAACCACCAACATGGTCGTCGATGGGATCAGCTCGACCACCGCCAATATCTCCTGGGATGATATGTATGAAGGATCATTGTTCCAGCTCGTCCACAAGGGGTAAGGAGAGGCGCCCATCGTGTTCATTCTCGGGGACAGAGGCGACTATAACGGGTCTCACCCCGGGAAAAAATCACGAGTTCAAGCTGTACGTTGTGGAAGACGGCGCACTGGTTGGGACGAACACGCTCGCGCTGGGCTCTAGCGTCAGCGTGGAAACGGGTAGAGTGGGGTACGGCGTGATCGGGGGCACGTTATCGATGATCGTAATCCTCGTCATCCTTTTGATCATACGAATGAGAAAGTATTGATTCTGCAGGAGGTAACCGCTTACAAACGCCTCGACAAACTTCGCCGTCATCCTGTCATACTGGCGTCATCGCCGTTCGCCCGCAAAATCTCCCACACGAACCCGGCGATGCCCACGACTTCACGGTGACCTTCCTTCACATAAACCATGGGCTGGCGCAAGACGTGACACGCGAGCCGGAGGGCGCGGTCGGCGTACCCCCCGGGAAATGTCGAGTGGGCGCGCGAGCGGTGTCGTTCGAGGAGAGCAACGGCCCCGTCCTGCCCTCCCGACCAGCCCGTCGGCAGCGCCTCGAGGGTCGGAACACACTTGAACGCAGGACCCAGTTCCGGTTCTCCTCCGACGAGGTCTCTCACGGCAAGGGTAAATTTTTCAAAGACTTCGTCCGATAGCACAGAAGGTCGACACCGTGCCGCCGGGGACGACGGACGACTCGAGTGTTCCGGCGCAGGCTCAGGCTCAGGCGCAGGCGCAGGCTCAGGTGTATCCTTTTTCTGTGGAGAATCGTCCCCCTCGGAGGGCCCCCATTCAGGGTAATTCGCGTTATTTTCCGGCGGGGTAAGAAGCACGTGTGAGGGCATGCCCGGCAGGGGCGTAGGCTGCGTCTCCTGAGAACAATCAGGCTTGTTATCAAAGGTGGCTCTACCCTCCCCCTCCTCCTCCTCCTCCTCCTCCTCCTCGGGCACGGTCGGTGTCGACTCGACGCGCGGGTTACGCCCACGGTTGTTGGAAGCGTGGTAGGCGTCGATGTCGGAGGGCCGTATCTCGTCGTACCACAGAATCGGAGACGGGTATTTTGAACGATCATCGCAATCTACGTCGGGGGGAGGGGCTTCCTCGTCCCTGACGGTAGCCTCGAGGAGGCGGTAGAGAGCCTCGCGGTGGCCGCTGAAGGTGTAAGATTCTTCCGACATCGCGTGTATTGAAAAACCCTCGTCACTGATTTTTTTTGTGTTTCAAAATAAAAAAACTCAAAACCAAGCAAGAAGAATCAAAATTTTCTCGAGATCCACAGAGGGAACTCGGGAGAGTGCTGGTTTGTTGGTGTGCGGACCACGATGGTTCGCACCACGATTCGAACCACCACTTTCAAGACCCACCGGGTTCGCTTGGTGCAAATATATTGTTTGTCAATACTCCAAGACGTAGAGACCCTGTTTCACACTGCCTGTGTTCTTCCAGAAAGGTTTTCGGGTTCTTTGAAGGGATGACCTCCGGTTCGTAGTGAGCGTGTGCGTTTGAGATGTACACCTTGTCTGGTTCCCAATTGACAGATCCCATCAGGGAGAACACCTTCTTGCACTCGAGGGCCGTCTTCCTCCTGTGACAGGTGACGCACAGGATCTGCAGGTTCGATTTCGAACACGACCCACCATAACTCAGGGGGATTATGTGGTCCACGTCGGAGTTGCTGTACGTCCCCATAAACACGTCCGTCCTACACAGACGACACTTGGATTCCTGCTGCTCCAACAGCTCCTGAACCACACGGGGCTTGATGCTGCCCCGAGGCGTAGGAAGAATGTTTCGGATGGGACCGACCCACATGTGACCAGAACCCGTCCGGTGACCAGAACCCGTCCGGTGACCAGAACCCGTCCGTGGAAGACCAGACGGCGTGGAACATGTCGGGGGTGGGTTCACCGAAGGTGTTGTTGACGTAGATGTCGTCGTGGATCAGGATCGAGTTGTTCGCCTTTGGTTCTGCCAGGTTCGTAGCCGGCTGGGGATCGGAAAGAGCAAACCTGTGTTTTTTCTCTGGATTTGCGTTGGACTTTTTCTCCGGTGGGGGTGACGAAATTGTGGGTTTCTTCCTCTTCCTTTCCCTGTATCCACCTCTCACCAGCTTGACACCATGCTCCGACAAAATATCACCTTCAAATGTTGTACATATAGCGAACGAAAGAAAATCAATACCTAGTCCACCAATAAACTGTTCCAGTTTATTTGACGATATCATGTTTCTGCTGTGAATATATATACATATGTTGTCATGAACTTGGTATATGCCCAGATAGTTTAAGCACGCCTTTATCGATATTATTTTGAATAATCCCTGTGCATCTGATGGTAAAATTGAAGACACACTAACAGCGAATTTCCTACCCCTCGTACTGACTGTACCCGTATTATATTGCCATAATATAATATATTAAACTACACCGACAGAACGCACGACACTGTAAAAATCATGGCCAGATCAAGGTTGGGACGAACGTGGTCGCGCATCAGCATGTCGTTATCGCCATCGACACCAATAATTTTATTGCTTTCACATGAGAAAGAGAACCGTATGCATCATGAGAATCATAGCCCATAGGGGGGACTCGAAGGTACACGGGGACAACAATCTCGAATCATTCAGAAGTGCCCACAACCTGGGTGTAGACGGTATTCTGCAGGAGGTACCTGCTTCCAAACATAAATACAAATTCACCTCCATATGCGTGGTATTTCATATCCTTTAGATGATGTAGGAAAGTCCAAACACTTTGTAAGGGGTTGGGGACATCAAACCTATCCAGACGAATACCCCCAACAACATATTCGCCTGATTGAGAGCGAAGTATCTGATTGAGAGCGAGAGCCAAAAAAAATGAAATTTCGGGTCCAGACGCCTCTTGCCATTTCTTGGCAAGTAGGGGACGGGCTATTCCAAGAAGCGGTGCAAATTGAAGGTCTCATCAGCAGCTTCGCGAGCATATGCGTGTCATCGTCATCGGATGCTGCAGCGAGGAGCTAGACAAGTTGCTAGATTTGATTTTTCCGCGCCGAGTTTGATTTGGTGACTTGTCATGTAAATTCATGCGAGACACTGGGTGACGTTACCCCGTTGACTCACACTACTCAGTAATACACACACGACAATCGTCCTACCCAATCGATGTCTTTACTGTTATTATCGTAACGATTGGGCATTTATGACTTCTACTACCCAATCGTTGCGATAATATCGATTGGGTATCTGGAATCGTGAAACAAACAAATAGAAGTTCAGCGGGGAAAGTGGTGTATCGGTGTAATGGATATGCATTGAAGATAATAACCAAAAATCGTCTGCGCGGAAAAAACAGCCTCCCAACTAGATGTTCAAATCTCCGAAAATCAAAAGCAGAAAAAAAACTGATCCTAGTTTGAAATTCACCTTTTTGTCGTATTTTTCGGTTAAAAATCGAGGAGTAAGGCGCGCTCTATTTCACGTGTTAACGGGGGAAACAGCTTCTATATGGGGATATTTTTTTAGGGGGTGTCAAGAAGACATGATCATGTATACCGTACAAGCATGTGTTGTGGAGCCGATACACATTTGATGTATACCATAGATTCCCTCCTGATCCCAAGCTACATGCAGTATTCCATGAAAGGGTAGGGTAGGGTATTGGATTAATTTCAAAGGGGAATGTATAAATTCCCTCCTGAAAGCTGCATGTTTAGCGTCCGAAGAAAACGCTACCCAATCGTTGTGCGTTCGCGGATTGGGGATTAAAGTGTTTGGTTACTACAGAACAAGCACCATGACGGAACGTGCCAGGAAGTATATGGTAACTATCTCTTCATTTGATCCACCCAATGCTGTTGTCCTTTACGACAATGTGGACAAAACGTACTGCCTGAAATATCTGGGTGTGTATGCCCATGAAGGAAGGATGGTTATTGACATTCAATTTGAGAACAGGATCGCTAGATTCAACGAACACAATCTCCTCCTGAAATTCGATATCGACGTAGAAAACGCACCAGTGTGTAAGAAATTTATCGGGGACGAAATTCTGCGGAGAAGGGGCAGAGGCCGAAGCCCGGTGGATCATCGAAACGCAAGAGGAAGTCTCCAGGACAGCCTTCAACTATCATCAACAACAATACGACAATCAATAACGACAACAGCAACACCACCAACAACAACATCAACCTGATTTTCGTGAACCCAATCGGCCAAGAGTCCTTGGAGCATATAACGCCCGAGTTCATCCAGAACCTTCTAGCGGAGCACCATGGTCCTGAGGTGGTGTTCAAGTTTGGCACCAAGATGTGCTCGCTGCAGGAGAACATGAACTTTAAGACGGATGTAAAGAGTGCTTTCATCAGCGGGCGCTTGGAAAAGGACGGTGCCTGGGAGACCCACCGCAAGAACGAGGGTTTCTCCATGCTCCTAGACAACTTGAAGGACAAGAACGAGCAGGCTGTCCTGAAGTACCTGTCGGATATCCCGGAGGAGGACTTTGAGAATTTCAAGCTGGACATGGGCTGGATCAGGGAGCACAAGTGGTCGGGCCTACAGGAGGACGTTCCTGTGTACCAAAAGTTTATCCGCGATGGATTCAACTTACTCACCGCGAACATCGCCGACAAGAAGCGCCGTATCGAGCGGGATACGGGGAAGAAGATGAAGCTGGTTTACTTTACAAAGAGATGCTCGTAGCGTTGTTAAAAATACAACGCTTACCAGTCATCGTCTTCTCCTCCTCTTGCTACCTTTCTCTCCCTAGAGGGAGAGCCTCCGGTTCTCATTATTGTTTGAATCAATTTGTGGATCTGATGAACCCGCGACGGGGTACACAATTCTTGGCTCGATGGTTCGATGGTACCGTGGTTCCGTTATCATTTCCTAGCCCACAAGTTTTGGAGTAGAACCCAGGCGGGTCCCATGGGACCCCGAGGGGTCCGTTCCTGGTTCCATCGATGATTTTCATGATTGTATAGTTTGTCATCGGACCCAAGCCAAAGGCCAACCAGGCCATGGTTGATCCGGCACG